CCAGAGGAGGGCGACTAAAATGATCAAGGGTCTGGAGAACAAGCCCTATGAGGAGCGGCTTAGGAACTGGGCATGTTTAGCCTGAAGAAGAGAAGGCTGAGAGGAGAATATGATAGCCATGTATAAATATGTGAGAGGAAGCCACAGGGAGGAGGGAGCAAGCTTGTTTTCTGCTTCCTTGGAGACTAGGCGCGTAACAATGGCTTCAAACTACAAGAGAGGAGATTCCATCTGAACATGAGGAAGAACTTCCTGACTGTGAGAGCCGTTCAGCAGTGGAACTCTCTGCCCCGGAGTGTGGTGGAGGCTCCTTCTTTGGAAGCTTTTAAACAGAGGCTGGATGGCCATCTGTCAAGGGTGATTTGAATGCAATATTCCTGCTTCTTGGCAGGGGGTTGGACTGGATGGCCCATGAGGTCTCTTCCAACTCTTTGATTCTATGATTCTAAGTATACATTATTATGAGATGGAACACAAGGAAACTTCCCAGTCTATTTTCTCCAATCCACACATATGTTTATAAATCTCTGATTTTCCCCAAACCTTTCTTTTTCCGAAAAAGCCCCAAATGTTTTAACCTTTCCTTATAAAGCGGTTGCTCTAGCATAGTGATCACTTGTTTGTGTGTTCTTGATTTCACGATTTGTCTTTTTTGATATGGCAATCAGAGCTGTTCACAGTATTCTAAGTACTGTATAGCCATTTCAAGCATACATATATAAGTGCTATGATGTTGGTAGTTTTATTTTCAATTTCCTTTGTAATCATGTCCAGCAATAAAGGACTTTTTTTCTTTTTTACAGCAGTTGTATCTTGAATCAACATTGTCACTGAACTTAACAGTTCAGATACCACAAGACATGAATTTGGATTTTTTTGCTCTAATTTATATTACTTTTCACTTGTTTATACTGAGGTTGTCATTTTAATATGAATTCCACCAGTTTGAAAATATTTGAAACTATTTCCATTTCCTTTTTATATTAACTATTCAAATAGTTGGTGTCAGCAAGAAGCAGTCCCCATCCTCCCTCCCCCGCAACACCAGAACATTATTATTATTATTATTATTATTATTATTATTAAAATGTTAGGAATACATGGGTAATGTATGGTATACAATTGCTATAGCCTTTTTCTAGCGTTTTTATTTCAGATTAAGTTACAAGTGGAGAAAACACTCTTCAAACAATAAAATTTTAGACTTGAGTCACAACAACTAGTATTTCCTGCCATTACCTTAGTCTAGATGAAAGCATCCAGGAAGGCAAATTTTGTTTCTACTTCAAAATGTATTTTCAATTATCTAGTAAACAATTAGATTTTTTTTGTACTGCATTTGTCAAGGAGGAAAATTAGCTAGGTGGTTGGATTAACATATGCAGTGCCTTGCTTTAAGTGAGACCTCTTTATTTCTTCTTATTCACTGGAGCATCAGGCTCCAGCACTGTATTTCATGAAATATGCTACAGAAACATGGGCATTATTGTACTCTAAATTTCACACTCATAAAAACTTTCATTTATCTTTTCTCTCTCTTCCCATCTACTGTACACCATATATCAGAGCAACACCTGGTGGTAATTAACTAAACTGCAGTATGCACCATGATTGTTAGGTTGACCTTCATACAACTCCACTCTCCAGTCAGCTCCATGGCTGGACTTCAGCAGATGCATGTAAATGGCTTATTATACTCACAAGGCAGAAGTAGTAAGCGTGTTGGTGAGCCATTTACAGACAGAATAAAATAGAATAACTTTATTGTCATTGTACAATGAAATGAAATGCTTTCCCCAGCACATATCACAAAACAACACACCCATCCCTCCACATTCACACCACTGCACAGCCTCCAGTGCCACATCAATGTGAAACTATGGAGTTCAACATAGCCACAGCTCTTGGATAAAAGCTGTCTCTCAGACTGTTTGTCATTGCCTTTGTCGCCCTGTATTGTCTGCTAGATTGTAATAATAATAATAGGAGCCCCCGGTGGCGCAGTGGGTGAAGACCGACAGGTCGCAGGTTCGAATCCAGGGAGAGGCGGATGGGCTCCCTCTATCAGCTCCAGCTCTTCATGCGGGGACATGAGAGAAGCCTCCCACAAGGATGATAAAATCATCCAGGCATCCCCTGGGCAACATCCTTGCAGACGGCCAATTCTCTCACACCAGAAGCGACGTGCTCCTGACACGACAAAATAATAATAATAAAAAGAATATGCTGGCTGAGATGGATACCCAAGAATGCTGTGACCTTTCTTAAGGTTGCGAGACTTTAAAAGTTATTCCAAAGAGGGGAGAGGGCAAACAATGATTCTCTGTGCAGAAGCCTCTGCCACTGTGCAGTTACCAAGCTACATGCAAATGTAGTAGGTTAGGACACTATAGCACAGAGGTAGAAAGTCACCAGCAGTTGTTGGTTCCTTATAAACCTCAGGTAGTACAGTCTCTGCTGGGCCCTTTTAACCAACACTGCTGTGTGGGTGCCCCAGGTCAGATCCTCCTTAACAGTGACATCCAAAAACTTGAAACTGGCCACCTGCTCCACTTGGTCTCCATTTATGACCAAGGGCTGGATATTTGGTCTGTTCTTTCTGCAGTGCACTATGAGCTCCTTGGTCTTATTAATATTAGAACCAGATTATTGTCCCTGTACCATGGGAGCATCCGATCCACCTCATCCCAATAGGCAGACTCATCCCTTTCAAAGATAAACCCCATCACAGTTGTATCATCTGTGAATTTGGCAATGATCGTGTTATGATGGATTGTAGTACAATCATATATGTACAAAGTGAAAACCAGAGGACTCAAAACACATCTCTGTGGCATCCCAGTGTTAAGAGTGAGAGCTGAGGGGGTACGATTATCTAATCTAACCCTCTAGGAACATCCAGACAAGAAGTCCATAATCCAGGAACAGATTGAATATGATAATCTAGGATCTATAAGATTAGACTATGTGGGAGGATTGTGTGAAAGCAGAACTAAAGTCTGCAAAAAGCATTCTCACATAGTTCCCCCGTCATTTCAGGTGGGTCAGAGGACTCTGGAGTGTGATGGCTATGGCATCCTCCGTCGATCTGTTGACACTGTATGCAAACCAACTTTGTCCAATGTATGTGGAAGCCAAGAAATGATTTGCCTGCAGACCAGATTTTGAAGGCACTTCATGATGATGGAAGTGAGTGCCACTGGTCTGTCGTCCTGAAAATTACCAGTAGGGAACTTGGTACTAGGAAGCCTTCAAACAAGATAAAGACTGTTTAAAAACCCCAGTAAAAACACTGGCCAATTGGTCAGCATGTGTGATTAATTGCCTACATTTTAGGCCAGAGAAAAGCTCAGGAAGTAGGCCCAAGTATTTTGGAAGCTATTTTGTGAGATGGCGCATAGAGGCAGCCATCTAAGAGTACTCATTTCCCAGAGGGGATGGAGCTTAGGAGCAGCCTGGAGGGAAATGTGAGAGAGCCTTTGTGATTGGCTGGGAGAAAGTGGGCGGAGCTTAGAGTGCAGAAAAAAATGCCCGAAATTGCCTAAAATCTGACAGTTTAGTCAGGGTCTATATGTCGAAGAAGAAAGTCAGGTTCTGGGTTTTGAAGAAGACAGTTGGGAGAGAGTGTTAGGAGAAGAGAAGTTAGAGAAGCCAAAGTGGTTAGTTAGAGTTTACAGATAGCTATTAGAAAGAATAGCTGGTGTAGAGTATAGACAGATCTAAGGGAAAGGACTGTCTGGAGTTTTAGGAATTCTAGGAGGGAAGTCTGCTAGTTTCCTGAGGGAGTGAAGAGTTGTTTTTGGAACTAAGTATTGAACTGATTTTAAAGTAACCATAACTTTCATCTCATTATTGCAACCATTACACTCAAGTGCCTGTATTTTTGAAATCCACACAAATAAACAACTTTGTTAATCAACAACTGTCTCGAAAATGCCTCTGTGTGAAGAAATTCCATAGCAGTTAGGAAAAGAGTTCCCAGATTGGTGGCAGTGATTATTTAAGAGAATCTCATTATTATTTACCTCCGAGTTCTGAGCCCTGAGTATGAATTTAGCACATTCCAGCTTAATTAAACCTCTGGTCAAACAAGAACTGAAAATCTCTTTTAAATTGGGTGGTAGCCAGTTTCCACATTAAAGTTACCTCAGAATACAGTGTGTTGGGGGCAAAGGCTCTGCAGCCTCCAAACTTCTTAAATCGTTTTAAATTATAATCTGTTACATTTGGTGAGCAGCATTGGGACTGCCAGAAGATCGTTTGAGTTGGAGTCAGCCTCTAAGTTAATTAAACGATCTTAAATAATTAATTTAATTAAACGACCACATCCTTTACAGCATGTAACAAAAAATGTCATTTGGTCCAGTAGCCTTCCTAGGATTTGCAGCCCTTAAAAGAAATGTTTCTCTACGGTGAGTTGAAGAGCTGCAACTGGCTTGATAAATTCCAGCTACCTCTGGTGGTCTTACTTCAAAGTGATTCACCACCTCTGCCAATGAGGCATCCCCCTCAGCAGGAATGTCATTGTTTGATTTACATTTTATTTGTTGAGTCCTCTGCCAGACCTGCCTTGTGTTGTTACTGTGGAAATGATCCTCGACCTTCCTCTTATACTCCATCTTGGCCTACCGAATGATGTTAGGTAGCAGCTCTCAGCAGTCTTAGTCAGGGTAGCCAGTTGTAAAGAATACTGGGAGTTGTGGTCCCACTTCTGCAATGTAGCATGATTTCCACTCCCTCTATACAGTGCAAAGCTTTTTAAAAAGTGCTTGAAAGGGGAAGGAAAGTGTGTGAAGGAAGGAGCTGGGCAAACCTGATAGATAGGAAAAAGATGGCCTAGAGAAAGGGGAAAAGTGTAATAGAGAGAACTGTCAGCCAGAAGGAAGAAGAACTGAACAGGATTTGGGGAAACCATGAGTAATCATACATATGTGTTTATAAATAGGTTCTTTATAAAGAGATGGTGTTTGTACTTTAATGTGGATGTTTTTGTGTCTCAGGTTGGTGATCAGATTGTTGAAATCAATGGAGAGCCAACCCAGGGAATCACTCATACACGAGCCATTGAATTGATTCAGTCTGGAGGAAATAAAGTTCTCCTTCTCTTGCGACCAGGAACTGGCTTAATACCAGATCATGGTAAGAAAATAGGACTTCTGGCTTGTTTGTCAGGCTGCGGATAAGAGAGCATAACTATATGAGGCTGCACTGCATACTGAAGATGCTGCTTTTCTTCAGATTTATGAGCAATAATGACATAATTAACTACACCTTCTTCTCAGGAAACATGTCAAGTAAACTTAACCATCTGCTTTTTTCAACTTTTCTCAGAGAATAGAATTTAATCAGTATTTAATATTACTAACTCCCATCTTTTCAACAAAAACAACAATAGTAATTATAGTAGCTGTCGCTTTGATACCTTTTGCAGAGTCAGCAAGCCAACTAGAAATAATTGCCCGATTTGCTTATATTTCTACTCTGATTCTGTGCTTGTCTCTTTACTTGTCTCTCTGTATCACTTGAGAAGGAATGAACTACAGTCTAGTAAAAGTATTCACACAGCAATTCTTCCCTCTTCGAGTGGTGCATTGTCTGTTGCTTGCCAGTTCTATGCTGTCTATGCTCATGGGATCCCCTGGAAATATCTTTACTGGTAATGCAGGACTAAAGAGGACTTGAAAAAGTATCACCTGTGAATCAGCTAGAGCAGGGCTGAGAAAAACATGGTCCTTCCAGTGTTGCAATGCAACTCTTCATTGTAAGCTGCCCTGAGTCCCCCTTTGGGGGTAGACAAGGGTGGGGTAAAAATATTTGAAATAAATAAAGGACATTTTCACAGGTTCTTGTACATTTAATTTTTCTGGATCCCCACCCCAGCTGACATTATTTGCTCCATTTGTTTCAAGGAGCTCATGCAAAATTTCCTTTTTCCCACGTTTCCTTTGGTAAAGAGAGTATTGAGTCGTGCTCCACATTGCCCGTCCTTTTATATTGTGTATTTGGGGTTTGAGGGCATTCATCTGCTATGTCTATAAGGCATTGTTTCTAAAACATTGCTCCTCCAGGTCTTTTGGACTTTGACTCCCAGAAATCGCAGCCAGCTGTTAAGAATTGTGGGAGCTGAAGTCCAAAACTTCTGGAGTAGCAGAGTTTGAGAAACTGCTGTAAGGTAAACAATATGGACTAAAAACAAAGCCACTGCTGTGAAATCTTCATAAACCATCAACTTTGTTGAAACAAAGTTTGTTTTGTATTTTCCATTCATCATGCTGATTTAAGTAATCCCATGAGCATATAACCACAGAAATCTTTTATTAAACTAACCTTTGTAGCTTTTCTAAGATACTTCAAAGACTGTGATCTATGGCTAGAATTCTTTTGAGTCACTGCTGGTATAAAAATAGTTGTGCAAGCAGTTACATTTTCTCATCAGTTGCAGAAATGGGGTCCTTAGTACAGCCAGTTATGTTGCAAGCATACACAGCCCTCTGGCATCATTGATGTGTGTACAGTGAATTAGCTCAAGGCCTTGATCCCTATTGCACAATTGGCTGGATAGCCATAGGGCCCAGCTTAGCTATGTTGATGTGTATATATGCAGTGCAAAAAGGCTGCAGGTTCTTGACGTGCATTTCTGTGGAAACCCTGGTCACACATTTAGGCTGCCATCTGGCTGATTAATTACAGTGGTATAAGTTGAAGCAACTTACTTCTTTGGTTGTTGCAGAAGTCAGAATTCTGATGCAACCCTAAGAACAACTCTATCACACAAGTTTTAATCACAAATTTAATCATTTGCGATTGGGGATGACATTTAATTTGTTGGACGATGAACAATGACAATAAAGTTATTCTATTTGCTTCCTTGTTTTTGTTCAAGATGACAGATAGCTGTCAAAAGATGGAGTTTTCATATTGCAGTAATGAGCTATTCTGATAGTGACTTGGTAGTTTTTTTGCACACATTTCATCATATGAAAGTCCACAGATCGATCAGCCAGCAGACATGTCTTTTAGTCAGATATCTTTGCAGAGTTAGGCAAGAGAAAGCCTTTAGGCTTAGACAAGATTGAAAAGTCTAAAATAAAATGTTCTAGCATATTTTTTGTTATATTCATTTGTTATATTCAAATTATTTTTAATTTGTTTGCAATAGTATGTGCACTTAAGAAGAAGAAAAATGTTTGTGTAAGTGTTGAGGGCAGGAGGTGCTGTCTGTATAATGCAGCCATTTATTGATGTTGGGAGGAAAGCCAAAACATTTGAAAAAGTAGAAAGTACAGACTGGGGCATTCTATTTGCTCTTTTTATTTATTGTTGTTGTTATGTGTTGTCCTGTAACCAGAGACATCTGCTTACAATAATAGATTAAGTAGTTTAATGCAAAAATAAAATAATGCAAAACTAACATAGTGTTTATCCAGCAGAGTAGTTAGTGTAGAAAGAGCACATAACAGCACAGATCATGTGATCATGAAATCTCAGAATAACTCAAAACATTATAGTTCACAAAAAGCTCTTAAGATTTAATGACCCGGGAAAATAAGAAGATATTTAATTGCTATCCAATACACCCCAGTGTAGATGCCAATTAAGCCTCGCGAAGAGCATTATCAATTGGGGTGCCAACCCTAGAAAAGTGATTTCCCTTCCTTTTGCTTGGCAATGCTACTTGAAGAAAAGGGCTTCAGAAGCTTATTTTAAAGTCCAAGGAGATGTATGTTATTCCTCCAAATAACCTGATCCCAAATTGTTTAGGACTTTAAAGACAATTAAATATAAATTAAGTATAGGTTCAGTAAAACAAGAAGTTTAAATAAAATTGTATGCCTTTTGTCATATAATTTGGAAGCAGAGAAATGGTCGTGCACATCTGAAATGGTTAGATTAGCTGTTTTCAGATCTATGACATTGAATCTGCAAGGAGACAAAGTGCCCCTTCGTATCTGGTACTATCTCCCCCTTTTCATCTAAAGAGCTCTGAAGAACTAGAAAGGCTTCATTATTTTCTCACAACAAATAAAAGCAGAATACTTCTCTTTTTCTTTTCTCCTCTTTGTATCTTTTCTACCAGACCATCTATTTAATCCCTCCTTTAAAATGTGTTTGTTAAAAGAGCAATTCTTACATTCCAAGGTATCTCTAACATCTCTGGGGAGATGCTGTACTAGAATACAGTTGTAGTCAACTAAGGGATTCCTTTTCTCCTCTCTCCAGTTACTTGAATTTGCTAAGAAATGAAAGAGAAGAGTGGGACTTTCTCTCCTCTCACTATGCTAGCTCTTGTACTCTGCTTGTGAATCATACATTTCTGATGAAATCTTTTGCTGTGTGCTGTGATTTTGGTATATAGTCCTGGGCTTTTTCTCTTCCTCCCTCAGGTTTGGCTCCTTCCAGTTTGTGCTCCTACGTGAAACCTGAGCAGCATTAAAGCTTTCAGTGCTTTTCTTGGTCTTTCCTTAAAGACTTGGTAAATCTGCATGTCTTGTGATTGACCTCCTTTTATTTGCTTTGAATAATAGTTTTTCACTTTTCCCTGTTCTTAGTTTTCTTTTGACATGAATTGTGCTAAATGTAGCCTGTGATTGGTATAGTAGAATAATTTTTAGAACTATCCACCTGCCAACAATAACAGTTTACAATAAACAATTGTATTACAATAGCACACCTTACAAATAGGAGATCTTGTAAAAGTGGTTACCCTCGCTCCAAGAAAACAGGGCAAAGTCCATACCAAAGCAAAACATGAGGCATCTAAAGCCTCAAAATGGTGCAGAACCATACACAAAACTTTAAGCAAAGATACAAAACACCCCTACATCTAGAAAACACTGCTTCCTTGTTCAGTAAGCATTATTTAAAGATATGTGCTGCACTGACATACTATAGTAATTTCGTATATTGCTTATATCTGAGAAAGATTAAAACTGAAAGTATTTAGTAATTTTGATTAAAATTCTTTACATAACATCATTTTGGGGTTTTTATTCCCTTTTTATTTATGCATTCTGTAGATTTCATGCAAAATGTCTCCAGAATCCTTAGATGAAGGGCCTACTTAGAAATGAAAAGGAGTGGGTAGATACATGATCCATTCCTTCTCTCCCTTAGTTACAGTGCAAAAGGGTGGTGGCTAAAACCATTGAATATTTGGCAACTCTTCCTTTCTTTGCCTAGCTGCCTGCTTTCAGTTAGGAAATGGTAGCTTAAAGTATCCTTTATATATGTATTGAGTTAAGTGTGGATAGGACTTAGAGAATCTGAAAATGGATTGAAGGGTAGATAACTTAATAGGTCTAATAGATATGGTAAGAATAGCCTGAGCTGGTTAAGAGAAAAAAGTCTTTTCTTTCAGCTATCATATAGAAAACATGGTTTTGGCATTGACTTGAAGACTAGTTGCAATATTGTGGTGCCCAAACCTTCATGGGTATAGAGCAGTGGTTCTCAAGCTGTGTGTCCCCAAATGTTTTGGCCTTCAATTCCCAGAAATCCTAACAGCTGTTAAACTGGCCAGGATTTCTGGAAGTTGTAGGCCAAAACACAGGTTGAGAACCACGGGTATAGAGGGAAAGAGTTGCACATATTAGGGACATAGGTTTGCAAACAGAGGGGGGATGTTGTTTACATGTAGGAAATAGATACACCCAATAGCAAACAAATGCATGGCTTTCATTCTTAATCTAAATTTTTGTCATGCCATACAAAGCATTACATCAGTTTCTGCATATTTTCTCATTAACTCTTTAAGGGCTTTAGATGTTGCCAGTTGATTCTTATTGGTTAGCTGCATGGTTTTTTCTTGTTTCGATGCAGGTGATCTGGATAGTTTTAATCCAACATCCTCAAGTGTAACACATGGTGAACAGATGCCACCTCCCTCATTCTCACATTCTGCTTCCACATCTGAAGCATCTCATTTGCCAGGATCAGAAGAAGCTTTAATGAAAGTTCGGATGTCTGAGAAACTGGAAGAGCTGAAGAACACTGTGCCTGAAAAGAAAAGCACTTTAATGGAAGACCACTTGGAGATTCAGAATGCAACTTCTGCACAAAGGAAGGTGAACAAATGGGACCATCCCTCCAGTCCAGGTAATAAGAAGGTGAACAATACTGCACACTTAGCAGTGAATAATGCAACCAGCAGAGGCAGATCAACTAGTCCAAAAAAGATGAGCAATAGTACTTCCAGAGGCCATAATCAAGCATCATGCAACAGTCCTAGAAAGGATGAACTTAAAAAACAACTCAAGAATTGTTTCGACCAGCCAGAAAGTCTGAGAAAACATGAAAAGAAGCCCACGGGAACCTCTGAGAATACAAATCATGGAAAAATCTCTGCCACGGAAAAGAGAGGTAGATCTGTCAGTCCCCAGGAACATCGGAAGAAAGAGAGAGGCAGAGAGAAACTGCACTCAGAAGGGTTAACAGAAATTCAGAGCAGAGCAGCTGCTGGTGATAAAAACACAACTATGCTGCCAAAAGGGGACAAATTGAAATTAGGAGCCATGAAGGAAGCCACTAAGAAAAACATATGTGGGAAGGTTGATAAATACCCTTCAGAGACAACAAATACCAAGATAACTGAGAAGTCTCTTCCACTCCCTAAGACTAATGAACTTAGAAAGAAAACGTTGGAAGAGAAAAGGAAAAGCTCTAACCAATCCAAAATGGCAGGTCTTCCGGAAGACTCACTCCTTTCTAGAGATAAAAACACTGGACTTGAAGCAGAAGAGCCTGTTGTACTGAACAAATTCAGAGACAATGACTTGGAGCCAGCTGATAAAACCAAAGAGGATGGAACGGTCAAATCTGAGAGTAGATCTCCAGTGAAGAAATCAATAACTCCTGGACCTTGGAAGGTACCAACTGCAAGTAGAGTCACAAAAGCAACGGGTTTGACTGACTAACGGGTTTGACTGAGACTTTTTTAGAACACATTTTAATCAGGTTTCTAATGTGGTAAATTAAATTGCTTCCTTTTTTTCACAAAAGTATCATTTTTTCAGTCACTGTGATTGACAGAATGGACGGACAGATATTGATTTGGTCATAATTAGGCTGCATGAAGGACCTTTTGGATTGCGTACGAGAAACTCTTCAAATGCTGCTGTCCTTTTGTTCCCTTTGAAGATGGTGTCCTGCTGCTCCTGATGTTGCACTGCAAAGGCTTTCTGATAGTATTGTGGGTTAACAAACAACATTATTTTAATGCCTATAGCGTAATCATGACTCACTAATTGTTCTTGTGCCAAGTTATCTACTGTATCCTGTTGAACCTTCTCCTGTTTTCCACTGCCACAGAAAAGAAAAGATTTTGTCTCAAATTCAGTGTTTACTCAGGCATGCTGCATGTGTACATAGTTCTGAGTCTTCACTGTTGAAGCAAGAAGTTGAGTGAGCTTTTTTCCCTTGGCTTTACAGAGTCAAGGAATAAATATTACCTGAAGCCTTTTTCACACAGCTCTTTTCTCTTGCTCTTCCCACCCACCCCCAGCAAACTTAACAGGCCAGAGCCCCTATGTGCAATATGTGATATGTTGTCATTTTTCTCTGAACCTTTTGTTTAAAGTGTTGATGCCAGCTTTTAACAGGTGATACCATTCCAGATCTCAAAGTTGTGCAGTTTTGAATCACAAAAAATGTTATCCATTTCAGTGAAACTGCATGGGAGTCAATGTTTTCAGGGCTGGCATCAAATTACTTCCTCCTCATCTCTTTTTTAACACTTTCACATTAGAAATTAAACATGCAGAGAGGGCATATGCTTTCAAGCGTTCTGTCATGCTGTTTGTCAGAATCTCCCATCTGTTGTTTGGCTGTTCTTTTTCTTAATGCTAGCTAAACATTTGAAAATGTCCTGCCTTGCCTGAAAATTTAAGATCATAGATTACAGCAAGGAAGCCAGAACCAATCTAACAAGCTCATCTTTCAATGAGTCATCTTTGCTTGTGCCTGTTTGTAGAAGCCTGTTCTATTTTCTTTCCATGTTTGTACATACATGATTTCCCATGTTGCATACATGATTTCCCATATCCCTTTAGCTTCTGCATGTGCCCAAATCGTAATAATGAGGAATATTGAGTATATTTGCCCCTCACACATTTTAGTAATGGAAATGAGGTGAAGACAAGAGGGAAGAATTAAAATCTACTGGACTTTAAATAGCCCAAAGCAGTAGATTTGGGTCTCTTTGAATAAGCCCAAGTGATTGCCAACCTGGATTAAACCACAGCCAAGCAACAACAACAAAAAATGTGAATTCTTGTGTTTTCCAGATCAAGTTTTTCAAATGTTTTATTTAGTCTTCCTGTGGGTAAGTGAACAATTACACTAAAAAAAAAAGCTAAGTGCAGCTTTTAACTTACCTTCTATTAGGCTTTCTTTGTAGGCTTTTAGTCTGTTATTATTTTAAACTACTTTTCAGTCTTTTAAGTTCTCTTTGGTCCATTTATATCTCAAGTTTGTTCCCTATCACCACCACCTTTGGTTGTTCTTCCACCTCTTTTTTGGCCTTTACCTTATAGAAATGATTTCTGAAACATAGGTGGTAAAGACAGAATTATCATCTCCTGTGATACGTACATCTGTCCATTTGTCTGTTCTGTCACAGTTTCTGGTCAACTGGTTTTGAGTTTTTGCTGGAATCCTCTTGGCACTACACCAATGTTAACTCTTAGTTATGCTGATAGTTGTTATTCATAAATGCTTGTGAAATGAAGTATCTAATATCTCCTTACTTCAATGCATGATGTAAAACTTAACCCTTTTAAAAGGAAACATGTATAAGGTTATCCCCCTTTGCAGGGCAACTTCCTCAATATTTCAATAATGCCCCTCCCCCCGCCCCGATGATGAACCTGCTGTCATTTACATACTCATACTTCTTTCCTTTTTTCATGTTTTATTCCAGACCAAAAGCAACTTTCAATCTAATTCCCAATTTAAACACTTTATTGACTTGAATGGGACTGGATTCCCTGCATATTTGTGTAAATGCTGCTATTGTGCCATGCGCCCTGAGCCAACAACAAGATGGAAGTTATTCAGATTGCTTTGCAGAAATTATCCATTCAGATACATATGTCTACAGCGGGTCTGCACAACCTGTGGTCCTCCAGGTGTTTAGGCCTCCCAGAAGCCCTAGCCACTTGTTCAATGGTCAGGAATTCTAGGAACTAAAGTCCAAAACACCTGGAGGGCAACAGATTGTGCAGGCCTGGTCTACAGAATTGTATTTTAACAGAAAACTATCAAGCAAAAAAGAAAAATGATCACACATTATGGGCCCAAATCCAAATGGCAATCCCAAATGGAGTATGCCCTTTAAATCAGAAGCATTTACATAAATGTTGACAAGTCTACCTTGTATGGGGTTGCCTGTTGACTTTAGCTAGGAAAAACAGCTGCTATTGGCTCTTGTAGACAACAACTGCAGGCTAGTCTTCGGAGAGCTAATGCCTCCAGGTTCATGCATGTACTTCTAACACATAGCTTTCCCCCTCTCAAACCACTCAATGCATGTGTTTTGTAGCAACTGGAATTCTTACCAGGACTGAACTGAGCACTCCAGAAGCATATCTGTTATTTTCATGATAGTCTGGTGCTATTGTTGCTGGTTTAATGATTGTGCTGATCCTGCTAGTCTCATTTGACCAAAAGCATTTCTCAAGTGACATGTGGCTTCCCAGGGTTCCACTCACCTCTTCAAAAGAACTAGACCTTCAAGTTCTTATGATGGTGGGAAGAAAAGAGCAGGGATATCAAAGAGCACACTGAGAAGGAGTAGCAGAAAGTTTTTGGAGGGCTGCTGCCCTGCAAATGTCAAAAACGTACAGCAATTCAAGACTGCCTATTACTTTTATAAAGAGCTATGTATGTGGCAGCCAAGATTGTACACTGGTGTGCTGATGCCCATTTAATCCATTTGAAACATCTGTTTACCTCTTTAAAAACTTGTGCATATTGGCTGTGAACTTGGAAGTTCCCTACAGATCAACTTGGGCTTAAGACCTTTTTAGTTTTCTAGAATACAAGTGTAGCCCTACAATGATCAGATGTTGTTAATTCCCTTGAATTTTATGGAGTTTCATTTTAGAAGTTAAACGTCACTACATTTCTTGGACTGTTTTCCTGTGTATTTCTCTGGAGTGAAGCTAAGACAAAACAAATCAGTTCTGGGCAGGAGACACAACTGTTTTTAAAACTACCATCTGTTTGAATGATCTATCACCTGAAAATTGTTTTTTTGAAGTGTATCATTTGCCGATTCTCGCTGCTTCTCATTAAGAAGTCAAGTTGCTGTAGAAAGTATGTGCAAATATGTAGAACATTACTGTGAAAATATTTAATATTTGAGTTAGCCTGTGTAGACTAATACAGTGACAAATATCATACAATTCTCTACACTGTCACAGGATAGTGTTAAATGAAAATTGCAAAAATATCAAGATGACTTAGTAAAACTGTAAAGGATCCCCCCCATTATTCAGCAAGTACCCTTTATCCAGATGCTATTCAGCCATTTAATGGTGTGACCTGATTTGTTGTCCTCTGTTTGATGTGAGCCTTCCTATCCAGAGACTTTGTACCTGTACTCAACTGCATAAAATGACTTAGCAATGTGGCCTTGGAATGTTGAGAAACCTTTGGTTGTACTGGATGTAAATGTTTATATATTGTACAGCACCTTTATATATACTTCAGAGGTTCTGATTAGAAAGAGACCTGTAAATCGCTCATTATTTTTTATATAGATAACATTAAAAAGAGACTCTAGTTCATGGCCTCTGGATTAAAATACTTTAAGCGGATCTTTCAAGGCATAACTCCTCTTGGTGTTCTACTTGGGCTTGGATCTAAGGAATCATTAATTCAATTATGGTCACAGCTATGCACAGTTCTGTAAATATGCAGAAGTTCGACGTGCTGAAAAGGTAAGCTCAGTAGCAATTCTCTGCTTACATCATAATACTTAAAAAGTCAAGCCTTGGTCAGGTATTATACCCAAGCAGTGCACTGATATTTACTTGAATCCAATGCTCACCATTTTTTTTTTTTTTTATTTTTGCTAAATTGCATAGCTAAGAGTAAGGTGTGCATTAGATTTGATGGCACATTATAATCACAGAAATTCTGGTCAGGCTGAGGCTGGCAACCTGACGTAGGGGCATCAAATCTTTGCCATGCATTATATTCAAGAACAAATCTTTTTTTAACAATGTGCACCTTCAAAATTGAGGTGCGCATTACAATCAATGACACATTAAACTTGAGTAAATGTGGTATGTAATGCCACATGGCTATGCACACCTTAGGCGATCCCTCGTTTTCCGAGGAGGATAGTCTTCCAGTATTCTTGTGGGTCCGAATGTGGCTGTGGAGCCCCATTCTTGCTCTGCATCTTCTTCCGCAGTGAGGGCATTGGTTTCCAGGTGGAAGGCGGTCCCGGCCAGGGTTGGCTTGACACGCCTTCCTCTTGGCACGCTTCCTACCTATGCACACCAGTCCTACCCCACAACCCCAACTTCAGCAGAAAAATCTGAAAGGCATTGCTTCACACTCTTTTGACTATGGTTAGAAGCTCTCTCCAGATCAGGTGTGGGAGACAGGGATCATGCAGATGACCATTTGCCCCATCAACCTTCATATCTTTTGGTTAGACATATCTTTCATTTCTCTTCCCTCACTACTTTAAGGCAAAAGGGCACACTTGTTGGCAGCTCAGTGCTGCATGTATTCAGCTCATCTCTTACCCTCACCAGCAACTCCCTTCATGGAAAAAGAACATGAAGAATCTATTCTTCACCCAGACTGTCTTTATTCATCCACATTTAAATACTGACATATGTCCTTCCATCAGTCAGAAAGTATACAAACAATTTTGTATAAAATATTGTATGCTTTTTAGAAGCTTTATATAAAGATATTTTACAAAAACAAGTGCACTGTTTTGAGAAAATATTAAAACCATTGCATCTATACAGAGGATAAAAAGCAACCGTTCTGTGACACCTGATAGTCACAGTATCACATTTCTGCTGTTTCACATTTCTGTTATGACCTGGAATAAATATCTAGCTCCTTGTGGTTTTACTGAGTGTATACACATTTGGAAACTGGCATCCATTTGAAATGTAAATGTATGCAACAAATACTGTTTCCACCCATGGGGGATGCACCTCTAGGGCAGCTTCACAGAGACACAACCCTGCAACTTGTACTGCATCTGAGGAGCTGTGTGAAAAGTGCTACATCAACAGGCCACTATGGCGGGAAAACCCACAGGGCCAACTCACTTCCATGAGGCTAAATGCCATCAGCAGGGGGTGCAATGTATCCCAGCAGAAGTTTGGCTTTCTAATTCACTCTAATGGCATAAAACATCTGCTCTCTCTCTACGGCACCATAGAAGCATTGCTGTGTTCTTTCATGGAGAGACTGCTTTGCTTGTTCTGACTGGTCTGAATTCACATGAATTATTTGGAAAATGCTAATTACCAGAAAAAATCCTCTCCTCTCCTGGTGTGTGACAGGCCAACTGTAAGCCACCTTCTGGTGCTGTTTGTGTGTTACTAAGCAACTGAAGCCTCAACTGGCAAATGCCTGAAGAGGATATCCTCAGCTTGTACAGATAGATTTTGTTTTCCTCCCTTTTAAATCACTACTAAGCCTGGTGCAATTCAAGAAAAATCTCTTCATTAGAGACACTTGGACAAATATTAAGTAGGTCAACAGCACCGTCCAAACTGTGGCAGAAACAACCACCTGTCTAAATGTAAAACTTGCATAGCAAATAACTCAGACACCTCATTAAAAGACCTGCTTGCAGCACACCTTAATTTTCTCTTTTACAGCTAGAGATGACTACAATAAACTAGAAAAAGTGGCTTTGTTGTCCCACAAAAAGTTGCTAAATAAAATTATATCCGACTGGACTGGGGCTGCAAGTTTGCCTCATTAAGAGACTTTAGTGTAATAAAGCTCACTTAATCATCTCTTTCAAGCCATGATCTTACTGGGAATAAAGCAATCTATTTTGAAATCCTGTGAGAATGTTTGAAGAAAGGGCAAGATTTGTGTTGCTGCTGAGAACTAGCATATATCTCATTTTTACAGAGGCAATGCATCTTCAACTGTCATACCATGTCTGTGCAGCACAGCCCACAATTCTTGTGCTCTGGGAAAGGAGCTCGGCTTCTCCTTTGTCAAGGTTTGATTTTCCACAGCTGAAAGATTAATTGGCCATAATTACCATTCAACTGACAGAGGACACTAACTTACTAAATTAGTTTAAAAGGGAAAGTGATATTTGTTTAAAAGGTGAAAACTATGCAACTCACTACCCAACTTAGGACATACCAGCCCCTTTTGCAGTAAGCTCTTACACCATTTCAAAGTTACACACAGGAGAGAATTATGTCCAAGACATTTGTGTCAATTGGAAAACTCACACTTTTAAAAGTTGGAATAACAGCAGGCTTCTAATCAAAGAAGCAGTGTTATAGGTAAGATGCTCCTTCCTGCATATTAGGCGCACCTTACGAGCCTCGAGGAGAGGTAAGAAATAAAAATTATTTTTTAGTTACATTTTAAAAATAACAGTACAAGCTTGAAAAGGCTCAAAGCTCTTTCAAAATAATATTCTTGGACCTTAAACCTAAAACTGCTTTTACAGTGAGAAACAGCCTATCAGTTCACTATTCTAGAAATATAGCAAGTGAAAAAAAGGTACTGAACCAGCACTTCAAGACACAAATTGATACTTACTCTGATATTAAATCCCAGTAGATCACTTATTACACCAGAGACGGCAGACAAGATCACCACACGTGTTATGTTGTAGATTAAAGGATTCATTGTCAAACCGTAGAGTCTAAACGGTGTATCTAACTCCTGCAATTAAAAAAAAGAACTTACTCTGTCTGCCTTCTTTCTGTCTCCATATAATAAGGGAATTGGGAAACAGCCTTTTGGCTACTGAAAGCAACACACCAGGTAATGGAGTATTAAAGGATGAATAGTAGCCCAGTTCTTACCTTCAAGAGTTTTGTAGAGAGTTTTAGAACATTGTTCACCAGTGTCAGCTGTTCTTTTTTATTTGGTTTTTTTTCCATCTTTAGATATAAATTAATCTGTAACAGATTTTTAAAAGTTTATTAAAATCCCATGCTAATCCCTGTCTGGCCTGTAATGACAGGGCCAGCAGTTACTGCGCTCAACTGTGACACAATCAGCTTTCCTTTATCCTCCCGTAGAGCCAGCACAAATTCAGGCTGTAGAAAACACTGAAGCCGCTCAATACTTCCCTTTTCAAACCAAGAAGGTCATTTTCTTTGAGTCATACATAAAACAGCAGAAGGATGGTTCCCAGAAAGGACTTTTAGAGGCAAACATCAGTTTTACATCTCAAATAAGCTAAAGATACATACACAAAAATCTATTTTCTTTTCATATCAAAGGATGGATCACTACATGCCTTAGTATCAAAAGAGGGAAATGCAACACTGTATGTGAAAGTATGTGAGAAATAAGGCTGTATTGATTTCCTTGTTTTCAAGGAGTAAAGCAGTAGCTTGAGGACAAGGGCATAAAGAAATGGAACTAAGTGGGGTTTTAATACACCCCCCCCCCTTAAATGGTATATGTTCAATTTCCATCAAATATGCATGCCTTTGTTAATCTGCATTCATATGGATTAAGAATGTGCTTTCCCTTAAAAGGTGAAAATATAACCTTGTATTTTGTTATAAAAGCTCATGCTTGCACATTAAAATAGACTTTTCATTTTAAACAGTGCCGACAGAACATGGATTTGAAAATAAGCCTGTTCTTCAAGACTAATTTTAAAAACACAACTTCTCCATATACAACCTTGTTAACTGTACAGAGGTTTTCTAGGAACCAAAGGTTTGAATGCCTCCAAGCATAAATGGCAAACCAACACTGGGAAAAAGTTTTATTGAGATAGCTAGTTTTTAGTATTGGGTTGTTTATTTGAGAACAGAATGTCACTAAGACAGCACATGTAAGGCAGAATACCTGCTCAGTGAGCAGAATTGAAATATTACTGTATTTCTTGTTGGTTTCAGAGCCTAGGGATGCCAAACGTAACAAGAAGAGGAGGAGGGCCGTTTCCCAGATTAGAAATTCCCAGTTGTAAGCCGCATTCAGGAATGTCTTGTGACCTTTTAAAACCTATGAAAAGCAATATGTCAAAATCAGCAAACAGACTGGAATGTTCCTTTTTGCTTTGCTCAGAAATTTGTTCTGCTACAGTAATTGAATTGACAACGAAATTTCACTGTGGACCCTAGTTAGCAAACAACATCATTGGCCTGTCCGCATGAGACTTTGGCAAATATATATTCCTAAACATCTGATAATATTAGAAATGGGGAGGTAGAATTTGCACAGAGAAAAACACATTTGGGATAAAAAGAATATGAAGAAATCAAGAAGCTGGTTTTACTGGAAGAGATTCTAGGTGCCATCTTTTATTTTAACTAGGTGGTTGCATGACGCTTCCCTGTGGGAAGCTGCTCTGAGTACCCCTTGGGGTTGAGAAAGACGAGGCACAAATAAGGTGAATAAATAAATAGCTTCATGTGTGGCAGATCATGAAATGCATCCCTCTGTGAGAAAGAAATTGTGCAAAAGCAACCCATCACTTACCAGGACGTATCAAAGAGCCTCTCATCAGGCAGCTGAATGTGAGTGATATTCCACATTACTTTTTACAGGGGGAGCTATTTGAAAAAGCATTCTGCTGGAAAATACTGTGTCCTGTGTGGCACTTGTATCAAAGCAAGGCGAAAACTTTGTTTTCAAACACTTGATTTTCACTTGGAGATTCTCAAATGACTTTCCTTTCCCCATTTAAAAACTCTGAATTCTCCAGACATGCAGACTGCCTCACTCTAGGGAAATATTTCAACCTGCCCTGTTGTGATAAGTAAAGAGATCTCACCTGTGCACAGCATATGAAAGCAATAGATAGAGCCAGTAAGAAGATGGAGGATACCACCACATCAACAGACCGTTGTGGACCTCGCCTCTGCCAAAATAATAATAAGGATGATGTGCAATTAGAGCATAGAAAATGCAGAAGACAAAGGAAAGGACCACAGAGAGCAAGAGATCTGCCCAACAGCAATCCAAATGTCTGCAGTGGCACACAGCTCTACTTCTACTTTGAAACTTCTCTTTATGGTGCTAGAGTTAACTTGAGCTCACCTTTAGGTAAGAACGAAGCGATAACCATATTTTAATATTTTCCACTTTCTTGAGCCTGAAATGAGGGATTTCATACTTCCTGGCCTTTCGAGCTGATGTGATATGGCTAAAAAGTTTAGCAAACAAAAATCGCTGCAAAAGAATAACTGGTGTCATTCAAGGTTAGCTGCTCATTGCTATCAGTAATCACATCCAAATTTTTCTTTTATCACATTTTGAAATCACTTAAGTCAAATTAATGAACAAAAATCATATATCAATGATCTTTTAAATTATGCATTGCTCAAGAATAGAATATACTGAGTTGGAAGAGACTCCAAGGGCCATCCAGATGCCATGCAGGAACATCCAATGAAAGCAATCCCAAACAGATGGCCATCCAGCTTCTGCTTTAAAACTCCAGCGAAGGAGACTCCACCTCACTCCAAGGCAGCATCTTCCACGGCCTAATAGCTCTTACTGTCAAGAAACTTTCCTTAATATTTAGGCAGAATCTTTTCCCCCCTGCAATTTGAATCCATTGCTCCATGTTTTAATCTTTGGAACAGCAGAAAACAAGCCTGTCCACTCCTCAATGTGACATCTTTTCAAATGTTTAAAAATGGCTGTCATGTCCTCAGCCTTCTTTCCTCCATGCTAAATATGCCCAGCTCCATAAGCCATTCCTTATAGGGCTTGGCTTTCAGATCTTTAACCATTTTGGTTACTCTACTCTGGATATATTCAAGTTTGACTTGAATTGTGATGCCCAGAAGTGGACACTGTTCCAGGTGAAGTCTAATCAAAGCAGACTAGAGTGGAACTATTACTGCTCTGAATCAAGACACTACCCTCCTACTGATGCAGCCTAGAATCACATTGGCTTTTTTAGCTGCTGCATCACACTGTTAACTCATGTTCAGCTTGTGGTCTCCTGAGACTTCCAGATCCCTGTTATCAAGGCAGGAGTCACCCATCCTATATCTGTGCATTTCATTTCTTCTGCTGAAATGTAAGCAAACTACTGCAAATATAAACTACAACTTATGATGAAACATGATGCATAATAATGCCACATTCATTCCATCCTATTAGGAAATTACCTGGGAGAGAAGAAAGGAAAGGCGAGATGGGGCTTTTAAATGTGGTTCTTATATTTTGGTCCTATTTGAATGTTTAGACTTACCTGTTTATACGTTCTCTCTGCAACACACATCATGAAGAAAAACATCCAGGTAAGGCACAGGCGCTCAAGGAAGATGATGATAGCAAGGAGAATAACAGGGGGGATTGTGGGAGCCCCACAAAAGATGTATAAAAGTTCTTTCATAGAAAGGGACCACAGTTGTTCCAAAGTCTTTGAGTGGAAGAGCCGATAGAGGAAAGGGAGGAAGGCTAAACCAACTGTAACAATATTTCCCAGCCACTGATAACCAGCACCTTGTTGATAAGCATTAACCTATGCATGAGGAAAACAACAGTAAAATTACACAGATTGCCGAAACATTTTAATTTTGCACATTTCACTATGGAGCCTCTTGTCTATGAACAGACATTCACTAAATAATGCAGTGAAAGGAGCAAATTGCATCTTTAGAGATGATACATTCACCTGAGAGTTTTTAATGACTGAGTATAGATAGGAATGATGGATAGTAATGCACTAACACATGGAAGACAGCTCCAAATTTTGTGTTCTCATAATTAAATACTATCCTATCTAGCATTTTACTGAAATACACCGAACACTTAAGAACTTTTCCTTCTCCATTTAGAATAGATAAGGGGATATGTGGTTCTCCACATGAAGCAGGATTAAAATCTCATTTATCATATATACTCAAATATAAACCTAGATTTTCAGCACTTTTTTTAGGCTGAAAAAGCCCCCCTCGGCTTATACTCGAATGAGGGTCCTGGCTGAAAGAAGCCCTTCTTTCAGCCCCACACATTCCCATCAGGACACTCACCTCTCTGCACAGCAATCCAGCTAGATTGCTGTGCCGAGAGGGGAGGGGAGGCCACACGCCATCCTCTCCTTAGTCCTTCCCACTTCCTCCTTTCTCATCTCAGTTTTTTCCCCTTTTGCAGCACCCCTTTCCCACATCAGTCTTCCTTTTCCAGCTTCCCCTTTCCTACCACAGTCTTTACTATCCCCAGACCCTCTCTCCCACTTTTCCAGCTCCCTTTCCATCCCAGCCTTTCCCAGGTTCCAGCCTCTCATTCCCATTTCAGTCTGSCCTCTTTTCACACTGCAGTTTCCCACTTTCCCAACCCCTCTTTCTCACCCCAGGCTTTCCCACTTTCCCAGCCCCCTTTTCTACTTCAGTCTTTCCCACTTCTCCACTTGCCCCTTTCCAACTTTCCACACACCCTCTTTTACACCTGTCTTGCTTATTTTGCAATTTTTCTTTCCCCATCTCAGTCTTTTCCAGATGTCCCTCTTTCCCACCCCAATTTCCACAGCTTTTCCCACCCACCCCCACTCTAGACTGGGGTCTTTCCCACTTTTCCAGCCCCCCTTCCCATCCCAATCTTTCACAGTTCCAGCCCCCCTTCCATACCTCAGTCGTTCCCCCTTCCCCATTTGTCCCCTTCCCACCCCAATCTGTCCTACTTTTTCAGCTACCTCCTTTCTACCTCATTTTCCCACTTTTTCAACAACCCCTTTCCCATTCTAACCCTTTCACATTTCCAGTCCTTCTTTCCCACTCCCTTCCCACTCCAGTCTTTCCCACTTTTCCTTATTCATATGCACACAGCATTTCCCCTATATTAAATGTGTAGTTAAAATAAACAATGGTAATTATTGGAAGGATACATTCTTTACATTGAAGAAGGTTAGAATAATGATTTAATCAGAGTTGGACTGTCTTATCTTAATTTACAGTTTTCTGTAAATATTCAAAAACATTTAACTTACTGATTCCTCAATGTAATTTTATTGGTAACTCCTTTTATTTTGAATTTTAGCAGCAGCTGCTGCATTTCCCACTTTCAGCTTATATTCAAGTCAGTAAGTTTTTCCAGTTTTTGTGGCAAAATTAGGTGCCTTGGCTTATATTTGAGTCGACTTATACCCGAGTATATACAGTATCTTTTTTCACTTGCTTTACTGGCTGGGGGAGATTGAAATGGCAATCCAAGCCACGCTTTCTCAAATTTTTATAGATCTATAGAAATTCATTTTGCTTACCATCAATGTACATAACTTACCCTACTCATGATAACTCCACTGATCTCCAACACGGACATGTCCACCTTCTTGCATTCATTCCCCTCCCAAATGAGAGCACTCACTTTGGTAGAGGCAGGACTTGTATTCTGCAGCCAGAATAAATGGTTCTAGGGAAGAAAAATGCATCTCTAAGACACATTCTGAAAAATCTGTCTCCAATATGACTTAAACTGCAGCCTTAAGTCACATGATAGTGAACATTTTGCCATTAAAAGCATACACTGCTAATAGTGGACCCTAATTGAATAAGCATAATTAACATAATAAATCAAAATCTGCAAATCTGTTTGGCACTATGGATGTCATATCTTATTAATGACATGCAGACTATACTATTCTTGCAGATTCAAGTGTCAATAATTCCAAGACTATCCACAGATTAATTTCTCCTGAAGATATATCCGAGAGAAGAAGACAGAGCAGTCTGTGTACAGATTGGCAAATACCTTTGACACTAAACTGTTAAACAACAGTAACATCAAAGTAACTTCAAAGAAATAAAGAAAATTTGGGGAGCCACAAGTGGAACTCTCTGGTGAAAGATATGAACTCTGATGCTTAATTCCTGTGTTCTAGTGAGTCGTTTGCAGCTGCAAGGCATATCTTAATAAACTTGATGTGGTTTGAGTATGCTTTATCCAAAATGGTTGGGAGCAAATTTTGGATTTTTTGAAATTTTGGAATATTTGCATATAAATAATGAGATATTTGCTTGTTTTGAGTTTTCCACAACCTCTGAAGATGCCTGCCATAGATGCAGGCAAAACGTCAGGACAGAATGCTTCTGCAACATGGCCTTACTGCCCGGAAAACTCACAACAACCCAGTGATTCCAGCTATGAAAGCCTTCAACAATACAATGAGATATTTTAGAGACGGGACCGAACTCTAATAATTAAATTCATTTCTACTTCATCTACATTTTATACACATAGCCAAAGTGTAATATCATATTCAATATTTTTTTAAAAAATTCTGTGCGTGAAACAAAGTGTTTTGTACATTGAACCATCAGAAGGCAATGATTCCACTATCTCAGCCACCCAGATATACAATTTTGGATTTTGGAACATTTCAGATTTCCAGATAAGGGATTCTACCCTCTAATAATAATAAGAAAAATGCAAGCCTAAAATGTACTCATAAAGCTTTTATCTTGTCTGGTTATTAGGCTGTTCCCATATGATCATTTTACATAATAAGCATGCATTAATTCCTCCATCTGCTGTTCAGTAGTACACTTTCACAGTCCTTTTAATATAAAACCATCACATGCCATGATACTTTCTTGATACAATGCATTTCTTTAAAATGCAAGCTGGTCTAATGGCATTGATAGAGATTAGACATTGTGCTCAATGTTTTATAAGATCATAAATAAATGTACAGACTTGAAACTTTGGGTATTCATGTTTATCTTAAACCAGCCAGCACCCCAATTGAAAGGTTTCCAATATGCTACCAATCACAGCGTTTGGATAATATTTTTTTAACAAAACATGAACCATTGTTGTTACTACTCAGGCAGTTGAGAGGAATGCACCAAGATCCATCTAGCTATAGTCACTCTCCTTGAATCCACTTGTAACCAAGCCCAAGATGGGCTAACAGAATATGGCTGCATCCACACTGAAGAATTTGATGCCACTTTAACTGCAATGGCTCAATGCTACAGAATCATGGGTGCTGTAATTTTAAAGGCCATCTAGTCTTTTGGATCAGGCTTTCAGAGAACAGTGCAGTGTAATAACAATTTTGGAATATGTGCAATGACTACGGAACATCTTTGGACTACGATTATGGGTTGTTGTTGTTCATTCGTTCAGTCGCTTCCGACTCTTCGTGACCTCATGGACCAACCCACGGCAGAACTCCCTGTCGGCCGTCACTACCCCAGCTCCTTCAAGGTCAAGGCAGTCACTTCAAGGCTACCATCCATCCATCTTGCCCTTGGTCAGCCCCTCTTCCTTTTTCCTTGTATTTTCCCCAGCATAATTGTCCTTTCTAAGCTTTCCTGCCTTCTCATTACGTGTCCAAAATACATCATCTTGGCCTCTAATATCCTTCCCTCCAATGTGCAGTCGGGCTTTATTTCCTGAAGTATGGACTGGTTGGATCTTCTCGCTGTCCAAGGCGCTCTCAGAACTTTCCTCCACAATTCAAAAACATCTATCTTCCTTCGCTCAGCCTTCCCTATGGTCCAGCTCTCACATCCGTAGGTTACTACGGGGAATACCATTGCTTTTACTATGCGGATCTTTGTTGCCAGTGTGATGTCTCTACTCACTATTTTGTCGAGATTGGTCATTGCTCTCCTCCCAAGAAGTAAGCGTCTTCTGATTTCCTGGCTGCAGTCTGCATCTGCAGTAATCTTTGAATCTAGAAATACAATGTCATTGCCTCCATGTTTTCTCCCTCTATTTGCCAGTTATCAATCAGTCTGGTTGCCATAATCTTGTTTTTTTTATGTTTAACTGCAACCCAGCTTTTGCACTTTCTTCTTTCACCTTGATTAGAAGGCTCCTCAGCTCCTCCTCGCTTTCGGCCATCAAAGTGGTATCATCTGCATAGCTAAGGTTATTAATGTTTCTTCCAGCAATTTTTACACCATCCTTGCATTTGTCAAGCCCTGCACATCGCATGATGTGATCTGCATACAAGTTGAATAGGTTGGGTGAGAGTATACAACCCTGCCATACGCCTTTCCCAATCTTGAACAGTCTGTTGTTCCATGGTCCATTTTTATTGTTGCTACTTGGTGCTTATACAGATTCCTCAGGAGAGAGACAAGGTGATTTGGTATGCCCATACCACCAAGAACATGCCACAATTTATTATGATCCACACAGTTAAAGGCTTTAGAATAGTAAATAAAAGAGAAATAGATGTTTTCTGAAACTCCCTGTCTTTCTCCATTATCCAGCGGATATTGGCAATTTGGTCTCTCATTCCTCTGCCTTTTCTAAACGATTATGGGTGGCGTGATTTATACTGAACGTAATGTTTTTAAACGTTTTAAATGCTTAATGTGGAATAATTTTAATTTAATTTTATGTCACAGGAATTGTATGTGTTTTAAGGCATTGAATAATTGCCTATATGTAAGCTGCACTGAGTCCCCTTTGGGTTAGAGAAAGGCAGAGTGTAAATGGGGTAAATAAATAAATTTAGCCTTTTCTACCAAAATGGGCTGGTGCCTCTCCAAACTCACAATCCCAGGATTCCATAGTATTTAACCATGGCAGTTAAAGTGGTGTCAAACTGTATTCATTCTATAGTGTAGACATACCAAATAGTAGTAGTAATAATAATAATAATAATACTAGTAAAAACACTAATAAATGTATTATCTGCTTCTTCCTGCGGCTTGAGGCAGGTTGCAACATTATTATTACAAGTATTTATGCCTCTCTCTGGGTGTTCATATTCCTTAGCTGAAGACTAACTCTATAAATGACACAGTGAAGTGACATAACTGTAAAAAAAATTCTGACAAATAGTTTTCAGGTGGGGAAACAACTAACTCTCAGTGTCCCATACCTGGGTTTTCATTTAATTCACAGGCAGAAACAGCACATCACAGAAAAGTTTTCCATACTACCAACCTGCTGGAAAACATCCTCCTTCGAGTCTCTTTTGCTTCCTTTTGCATCTTTCCCTTTGGCTTCCTCGCTGTCACTGGTGTAAGAGGAGCGGCACTCGGGCCCATGGAGCAGGTCGTCCCACAGCATATCCTCCGTCTCAGAGTCATGGCGGGTGCTTTCTGAATCTCTGTGGGATGCACTCCCACTCCGGGATTCACTACTGAAAGAAGGTCTGAATTCCTGGAAGAAAAAGTTAAACTTAATCTTACTGTAATCCTGATTTAGTTGAGACTAAGGACCTTATCACACTAGAGTTTAAAGAGTAGGTAAAGAGTGTCCATCCCACTTTAGATTCTCCTGCAGAATTCTGGGATTTGTAGTTTAGTAGGGCCCGGAACCTCTCCAACTGAGCATTTTAAAGGCTCCTCCCTAAATGATAAGCCTCAGAAGGAAAATTTCATCCACCTCTGGCTCAGCTGCTCCACTTCCGATGCTTCACCTTAATTCCTCTGAATTTTAATGGGGTGTGACCGTTCATATAAAATGCATTACTTTAAGTTGCAGAAGTGCAAGCAACTGAAGTCCAGTTCTATTCCGAACATGGCAAATAGAATCACAGAGTTGGAGACCTCATGGGCCATCCAGTCTAACTCCCTTCCAAGAAGCAGGAAAAGGTAAAGATTTCCCCTTGACATTAAATCTAGTTGGGTCTGACTCTGGGGAGTGGTGCTCATCTTCATTTCTAAGCCAAAGAGCTGGCATTGTCCATAGCCATCTCCAAGGTCATGTGGCTGGCATGACTGCATGGAGTTCCATTACCTTCTCACCTAAGCGATACCTATTGACCTACTCAAATTTGCATGTTTTTGAACTACTAGGTTGACAGAAGCTGGACGTAACAGCAGGAGCTCACCCCGCTCCCTGGATTCGAACCACCAATCTTTCCGTCAGCAAGTTCAGCAGTTCGGCTATTTAACCCACTCCTCCACCTTCTAAATACCTAAAAGGTGCCAAATCCCATCTGATCCTGGAAGCCAAGCAAGGTCAGCTCTGGGTAGTACTTGATGGGCGACCATGAAATTCATGAACTTTCCATAAGTCAACAGGTGACTTGAAGGTATGTGCGCACACACACTTTATAAAAAGATGCCAGCAAAGCAATTACTTTTTCAAAGAAAGATGAAGACATTCCCAGATTTCAGAAGGGAAAAATGCGATCAGCTGTATCCAGAACTTTCATTTTATATATATAATTTACTTTAATAATCTGCAATCCTGAATACCTCATGAAGCACTGTTTCCAGTTCTGATTCGGCTATGCTGTCAGAATCTTGCATAGATTTCATAACTTCCTTGACCTGCCTCAGACAACAAAAAGAGCAAATGGACAACATTCAAATGTACGAAACCTTGACATAAAGTGTGTGTTGTATTACAAGGAAGGTAGTAACTTTAAGAGTCACAGATCAAGGCTCAAGCCTTCTTTATATATATCATTAAGATACTATATGACAAACACAGACAAAAAAAAGGCCATCTATTCTGTTACCTTTTTACATTAATATATTTCCAAACACCTAATTGATTTCAAATGATGTTTTATCATCATTTGTCTGCATATAATGTCTTGATACATTGTTGATATTTAGTATAGTTAAAAAGACAAGTAAGCAGAGCTTATGAGCAACTATACCCCCTGAACACACTCCAACCTGATTTCTCAGGGCAAATAGGATCAAAGCCTAGTCATACTTGGGTGGGGAATGATAAATAATCAATAAAGCAAAACAATAAATGTAATAATAACAATTAATAGAGTAAAATAATAAATGTAATAATAGAGTAAAATAATAAATTTAATAATAACAATAATTGAGTAAAATAATAAATTTAATAATAATAATAATAATAATAATAATAATAACAGATTAAAATAATAAATAATCTTGACTCAAGTATAAGCCAAGGGGAGCTTTTTCAGTCTAATAAAAAGCTGCCAGTTGGACAGTCTTATTACAGTTTTATGTAAATATTCAAAAACATTTTACCTACTGATGCCTCAATTAATGTACATTTATTGGTCATCTATTTTTAGTTTGAAGTTTACCAGTAGCTGCTGCATTTCCCACTCTCAGCTTATACTTGAGTCTATACGTTTCCCCAGTTTTTACTCTATTATTACTGGAAGGATACGTAAATGTAATAATAATAATAATAATAATAGAGTAAAATAATGGAAATGTAATCCTAACAGTGTTAAATAGCATAAATATGGATGAAATAATAATAATAAAGTAAAATAATAAACGTAATAATAATAAATAGAGTAAAATAATAAATTTAATAATAACAATATGGAATAAAATAATAATTGTAATAATAATAATAATAACAACAACAACAACAACAACAGATTAAAATAATAAATAATCTTGACTCAAGTATAAACCAAGGGGAGCTTTTTCAGCCTAAAAAAGGCTGAAAAACTCAGCTAATACTTGAGTATATACAGTACATATAAAACTACATGTAGAATATTTCTTAATGAACTAGGTATGATTAATAATACTAAATTCATTTTACAAGAAATAGTCCATCTATACAAAGTTATTACAAATGTATTAAATTAGTAAGCACATATATGCACGCATAAAACTACATAGATGATTCCTTACTAAACGAGACATGATATCTAACATAACAAGAAATATTCTTTATAAATTTATATGACATATTCTATACACATTCTGTTTGCAATGTGAGATGGTTGAGGAACAAAGTGAAGTGTGAAAATCAAGCCTCGGAAGAGATTTGGAGCAAACTGCTACGGGACTGCGGCCTCCAACTCCACAATCAAAGCCACTCTCTAAACAGAAGACAAATCCTACTGCATTTTGAAAAAAGAGAGACAGAGGGAGACTACCAGTGAGCAGACAATTAGGGGTAAAACACTAGGGACTAAAAAACGTTTGAGGTGACACCATTACATTCAATGACAAAACATAAGCACCCTCTCCTCTTACTGATTCTGAGTAAAAGTGACATCCTGGTTGTGCCTGAGGGAGAATGGAGTAATGCCCTCTGTAAGACAAACACTCTGACAATAAATCATACACTTACCTGTGATATTGACTTGGTGGGAAGTGGCCCTGATCCAACAGAAGGCACCCTGATCTGATTTTCATTGACATTTGGTGCACCTTCCACACATCTGCGCAGCAAAACTTTCTGGCTCACTGAATCAGCTTCCTCCTCACTTGACAGTTCATCAGAGATGCCAGGGCGTCTGGTACTAATCTGAAAGAACAGCAGTCAGAATTAAAGCTGTTCAGCATCTAGCAGATGGGACCATCCATATTCATACAATCTGTTTTCACTATAGTGAACAATCAGTAGAAAATCGCTTTGCATCAGTAAAAGCAAAATAAAAAAACAAAAGAGCATCTCACAGGTGTATTGAGAAATAAACACTACTAAGCTTTACAGTTTCAGCAATAATAATAAAAAAATCTTGCAGTTAAGTGAACCTTCTCGAGAGCAGCAAAGCTTTCTTGAGATTGTCAAACCTCTTGATTGTCAAGCAAATGTTATGAAGACCTGTCTAACACTTTTTTTTTACATAAAACAAGAGCTTGACACTTGCAATGAATGATCCTTCTCAGAAGGCTGCAGGAACATATTCCACAACAAGCAGATAGAGGTAGGAGATCCAAAATTCAATTTCTGTTAAGATCACTGACTCTCAGCTCTGCCTCAATTTAGACAGAAGTGTAAAGAAAAGAAGGCGGTGGTTGGCTGTTTATTTTTGTTTCTTTGCAGGCTCTGGATGGAGGTGATTGTTCTTTCAAGCCTTCCCAGAATGATCATTCATGCTATGTGCCAACCTTTCATTCCAAAGACAGCTGAAGGAGCAATCCGCAACAAGTGGGATATATACTTGTGGGATACCTTCCAGACAGGCCCTATATCCCAGGATCTGATCCAAGGTTTTCTGTTAATCTCAGATTATCTGGTAGTGTGGATTCATATAATCCAGTTTAAAGCAGAAATCCTGGGATCAGGTCCTGGGATATAAGGCCTGTCTGGAACAGCCCTTAAACTCCACCTCAAGGCAGTAATGGCTGCTTTCTTCTTTCTTTATTTCTTATAGAACAGACCTATCAAAAGCTGCCTTAAACCTGTCTGCTTTACAATGTCTAATAACAGTACATGACTCCTTCAATCCAGCAGTATTACACATCTCTTCTAATGATGAAAACTCTGTAAGCACTGTAGTAATTCCCACAGATCTTGTAAAATGTGCATAGACCTGCTTGGTCTTTGGAGATTTCACATAATCACAGCACAAGAATATGCAACTTTTTATCAACCTAGACAGCATCTGTTTCAATGTCTTATAATCCAACATCCTCAGAAGGAAGGACACAAATAATGCCTCAGTTTGACAAATGGCTTTTGTTCTCTGCTAGGAAACCTTGGCTTGTCTCTTGACATTCAGAGACAACCACCTCTTTTAGAGAAGAACTGGATTTAGAAATATATTAGTTTCTCCATATAATCTTTATTGCAAAGGTATGGGGAATTGGGGAGGGTACAAGAGTGGATACAGAACAGGGGCATTTTTAACATCTTACATCTTCATCTTCTTCCCAAAAAAGGTTTCTATGATGTTAAAAAAAGAGAAAAATATATAACATTTCTTTTCTAATCTAAAACAAAAGGATAGAAAAGTGGATATGCATTGTTTTGAAACAAAAGAGATAGAAAAGTTGAGAAATGGAACAAGAAAGCCCTAACTAATGTTTCCTACCCTGTCTCTGCTGTCTTCTTCATAATGAAAAAAATCTATCTTTTTGGTCATAAATCTTATTATCTCTGGCATAATTGAAATATTAGTAATGACTGAAGCTGAAACTTTGTTGCCAAAGATTTGGAAATAAATTTTATGTTTATTTACTTACTTCATTTCTACTCTGCTTTTCTCGACTCTGGAGGGGACTCAAGGCGGTGTACAAATCCTGCAAAAATGTAATGCTGCACAGATAAACACATCTCAGGCCCTGAAGGCACAAAGGGTGAAACCCTTGTGCCAGCAGAAACTGAAGACCAACAATTCGGAGGTTCAAATCCAGGGAGAGCATGGATGAGCTCCCTCTGTCAGCTCCCCATGCGGGGACATGAGAGAAGCCTCCCACAAGGATGGCTGGTAAAACATTAAAACATCCAGGCACCCCCTGGACAACATCCTTGCAGATAGCCAATTCTCTCACACCAGAAGTGACTTGCTGTTTCTCAAGTCACTCCCGATACAAAAAAAATCTCATCAAAATATAAAACAATCTAAACATATAACCAATTAAAATACATATCAATCAGATTAAAAAAATATGGATCTAATGTTAACAGCAATTAATCTTTTTTCAAAATTGCAGAAGAAAGTTGGATTCAGTGATAATGATGGTAATTCCAAAACCTTTTTCACTGAAGTTATATTAACTGAAAATACAGCTTTGAAAGACAACAGCCTCAAGGAAGCCTCCTCCTGTTTCAAATGGTGGTTTCATCAATATATTCAATATCAAATTTCAGATCAGAAATTTATGAACTGTTGGTTGTCCTTGTAGGCTTGCCTCTCTTTTAACATGCAGGTGAGCTGAAAGAAGTTTTCCTTTTACTATTAAAACTTAGGACAGGACAACAATGTCTCTATTTAAAGTATTTGGTATCAGTCCTTTTGCTATGCCATCTCGAAGAAAGGCTAATATTTCATTTATGTGTGCACTAGCTTGGGGACCCAGCTCTATGTGGCCAGCTTTAACCACTAAAGATTTGGATGACAGACTGGACACTCCATCAAGAGTGATCTTTGAGGCAGCACTATGGTTTTCCATTATCCTGTTTTTCAGATGGGGAAACCATGGTGTGCATAATCAATGTGGAACAACCAACACAATAATAATAATAATAATAATAATAATAATAATAATAATAATAATAATAATTTTATTTGTACCTTGCCACTATCTCCCCGAAGGGACTCAGCGTGGCTATTCCACTGAAAACCTGTTGGTTTAGACTCCATTCTCCCTGCATGATCTTCTTCCTGCTTAGGAAATTATCAATCAAAATTCAAAACTTTATTTGTAATGAACTAAAGCTAACCTCATTGCTCTCATTTCACTGAGTTCCTACACCAACTCCAGGCATTCTCCTTGAACAGCCTAGGAACAAAAGTGAGTCCCCTTCCTAATATGTTCATATTGTAAGTTTTATTTTCCTTTGTGGTACAAAAGAACTTTCTAACATTTTCCTGACTATCCAACATCACAAATCTTCCTTCATTTTGTCCAGTAAAGTCAAACAGTAATGTCTTTCTTAATATGTTCTTCTGGTGATGTCTTAGGGATATCTGCAAAATTCTGATATGAAACTGAGCTCAAGGCACTATCTGAATTGCCGATATCAACATTCTCAATATATGTAGCAGAGACATTAAATCTGTTGCAATCTCCTGAAGCAACTCTGACACTGCAATTTTTATTTTCTCCTCACTTTCCTTTGAGAGAAATATATCACTTCTGTGCATTTATTTCTGCTTATATATATATATATATATATATATATATATATATATATATCTCAATGCTTGAAAGAGGCTCTTTTAAAATGTATTTAAACCTATGGTCTTGCAGACATTTTAATATTGTCAAGAGATCTGATTTGGCCTTCTTTTTGCTCCAAGCATTCACCAAAATGTCATGCAAGTATGGGAACTGATGAATTCTCTGCTGCTTTAGATAAGCTATTAATGTCACCAACGCTTTGAGGAATATCCTGGGAGCTGATGCTAACACAAACGAGAGAGCCCTGAATGATGCCGATTCTATCAGAAACTTCCTGCAAACATGATCATAGAATCATAGAAGCATTTTGTTGGAAGAGTCCTCGTGTCCTACCCCTTGCCAAGAAGCAGGAAAATCACTTTCAAAGCACTCCCTGAATACACCAGAAAATAGAAAAAATCCTCTTTACTGAAAGGATAGTCTCCCAGTTCCAAATGTGCTAATGTAGTCCACAAAGTCTCCATCTTGGATTTGCAATATTGCACAAATCCATTGAGGTACTTCAAATCCAGAGCTTTGTCTATTTTGCTCATTTTGCACAACAGAGATATATGCCAGGATATCATCTGACTCTAATATTTGCTGAACACATAACATTCCAGCCCTTGCAAACAGTGAAGCAGTGCCTTGATGAACAATGCCACAACCTCGTGTGCTTTTCTAAATGCAGCTTGGAAAATTTTCTTAGAAACTTAGGTACAGGCGGGACAATCAACCAATGGCATTGACAATTGGTCCATAAAATCTTTTCAACACAAGTTGAAAACAACAAACTTTTTAGAATTTAAAGAAGTCTCCCACTCCATGTCAATCAAATCCTCAAACATTCTGGCACTGAAACTTGAATTGATTGAGGTAACATTTTCATAATTCTAGCAGCCAATTTAGTACGGAAATTCTCTTTAATGTTTACATTTCCTACACTTTTATTTGAATTCAGTCCTAAGGTAATCAGAACTTCCTTAAGAAGATTTTTTATTGATCTATATTAAATAGTCTGGATTAACCACTCTTTAGTTGCTGCAGAGTCTGAGAGTCCATCACTGCCCTCATCTAAGACTACCAAGTCTTCCTCATACTTGCAACTGGAGTCGAACTAATCATGTTCTGATCACGACTGAATCTTACAATCCAACTGAAAATACAGCCTCTGAAATGTAGCTATGAGATGAATGCACCCTATTAATTAAGTTATCAAAACGCTGGCACGTTTTGAAAATTACATTAAGGCTGCATCCAGACTTGAATCTCACTAGTCACCATGTCTTTCACCAATTCTCTTATTGCAAATAAACTGTATTGGAAAGACTGTGTTGCTGCACCAGCCTCATCATGACTGAATCTAAACGCCTGAGTCTGAAATTGATTTTCAGCATACATTACAGTAAGAAACAGCTCTAAATGCCTATCTTGCAGCTAGCATTTAAAGTGTTTATTGTTTTCTTGTTGAAAGGATTGCAGTTTGCAATGGTTTCCCTGGTTTTACTCTAGAATAGACTTACCCTGGAATAGATTTAGATCACATCCTTCCACACTGCTTTCACTGGATGATATAAACATGTTCTTAAACACCATTTGCCTCTGGTTTTGTGATTTTATTTTGTGAACCTTTCCTGAACCCTTCTCTCATAATTGACCAGCATGCCTGCAGTTTTGGTGGAGACTTTTAAACTCACTTCATCCACTGCCAACATTTTCTTTCTATCGGAAGGCATTAGGGAGTCCTTCCTGTCACCCTCAATATGCTGCATTTTTCTTTTTATTTGATAAATCTGAAGTCATGTTCCAAACCTTAAAGCAAAGGTCAGAGCAATACTTAAAATTGGTTTAGAAAGATTAGGAGAAAGAGAAGAAGGAAAATCGACCATCTGGCAAGAAAAATTAAACAGAGGGAGAGCAGAGACTCAACAGATCTAACAAGATTGGAATGTGGGTGTCTTGCCTCAATGTGTTTGAATAAGGGAATGAGCCACTTCTTTTGGATTGCTCTTTTCAGACAACGTAAGATTCCATATTTCTTTCTTTAAGGATCAAGAGGAAGTGTGCTGTGGCATAGTGTGAACTTTTTTGACTGAACCTTATTCACAACTGGTCTAAAGGACAAAACATGTGTGTCACCCTAAACCTGTCAACATGACCAAATGAGGCAGGATGGAAGTGAATGGACTCCGATCCATTCACCCATTCATTCACGGGACCCATTCGTCCTAATGCCCACCAAAGTGACTTAATGGGGCCTTGTTCCACATTTTAAAAAGTTGCAGGATGCGCCAGAGCCTTGGGTTGCCTGCACATTGGGGCAGCGTGAACAGTTGGGCCAGTTCATACTTTGAACCAGCCTTGGCTGTTCAAATGGCCATTCCACTATCCCTAGCTGTGTAATGAAAGCAATACTACTAGCATTTAAGAGGTGAGGAAAACTTCAATATGAACTCTCATTATGAAACATGGGAACAAATTAATAATTTGTGTGGTTAATTATATTTATGCAAACTTTAGGACTCATATGAGCCCCCTGGTGGCGCAGCTCCCGCTGTTAGGCCCAGCTTCTGCCAACCTAGCAGTTCAAAAACATACAAATGTGAGTAGATCAATAGGTACCGCTTCTGGGAAGGTAATGGCACTCCATGCTGGCCACATGACCTAGGTGGTGTCTACGGACAACGCCAGCTCTTCAGCTTGGAAACTGAGATGAGCACCACCCCCCAGAGTCGGATACTAGACTAAACTTAATGTCAGGGAAAACATTTACCTTTTAAACCCTCACATGATCTTTGAGTAAATAAATCACCGACAACATTAATAACACATACAAAACCTATTTTGCAAGGCTATATTCCACACCTTACTGAATGTAAGGATGGGCAAGGGACTGGGTTCATACAGAACACACCCTATATTTCCATCAATCAAGCCCAGAGCTTACCTGGTTTTTTTCTACACATAATACTGTTCCAGATTCCTTGGTCCATTGCAAACCATGGTCAGATTTGGAAATCCTTCGCTTAATGTCAGTGTTATGTTCTGTCTCCGTCCCTTTATCAGCTACTCGTTTTCCTCTTTTCACCCTAAGAAAAAATATAAAACATTATAGTTGTTCATACTTATAAAGATATGGGTGAGAGCCCACATAATTCTCCAGGGAAATGAGTAGCTGCTTTGTAGCAATCGGCAGTTACGTCTCTCACCACCTCTTCCACAGGTTCTTTATTTCTTTTTTTGTCACAACTAGTAGTTTGCCATTGTATAATTCTTCTTCTAACGATTTATCAACCTTCTGTGATTTCTTCATCCTAATTCTTTATAGGTATTTCATTTCACATATGTGTAGGTTTAGCTAGCTTGAAGGAAATTTAAAAACATATGTGAAGGTACAGGAACTGACAATTATAACTGAAAGAACTTTAGATTTTAGAACTCCTGCAATGTATGCTGGCAATCAGGAAATAATCCAAATGTAGTGGATTGTTCCTCTGGGCAATCCAGGAAACAATTCTGCACCTGCTTATTGTTTGTTGGTTAAATCCTGAGCAAAGTTAGAGGAAGAAAGGTACATATAATTGCATCAAGAAAACACATACTAGAGAATAAATTTGCAAAAACAAATAAGAGAAGCAGAATGATTACTCTGCCAAACTGAAAACCTGTTGACTTTATCACAGGCTTCTGAAGTATTTGATAAACTGGACTAGAGTCCACAACAGCTAAAATTAGGCTTTCCTTTTTCTATATAAATCTTAAAGATGTTACAGAATTCTTCTATGTATTTTATGCTGAACACCTCCTGAAAACAACTTGTCTATTCTCTCCATAACAGCACAGAAAAACAAGGCAAGAACAATCTCATCCAGAGGTAAATCAGACTGCTGTGGTATAGATACTAGAATGCTGCACTCTAAAGAAGATACGCATTTCTTCCACAGGGAGCCACAGGG